CTGCTGGAACCGTGTTTCTTCGTTTCTTTAAGCTGGAGAATGAAAATGAAAGCTATGAAAAATTGCTGCCTTTTTTAGGCTTGATGGTCTGGATAGAGGACACTGGGGTGGCAGTGGGGACATCAGATTCTATTCCCTGCCCTGTCATCTGATCACAGAAACTGTTCTGGACTTTGTCTGCTTCATCTGAAAATGAACAGATTGAATGTGATGGGATGTTCTCTCTTTCCCTCTCTTATTGCCATATTAGCAGACATTAATTTTTCAAAATCTAGTGGTTCATAAAAATATGGAAGGCAAAGCAAGTACCATTGTGCCAGGGCTCTTGGTTAGCTGAGATGATTCTGGCAGAGCTCTGTGAGATGCCTCCCATACAGGGCCCACTGTTAAACTATTGCTTTGGCTACCAGCCTGGTGCAGTGATAAGCTCTCAGTGGTGTCTAAAGTCAAAGAGGTGAAAGGACTTTTGAACCTCAGCTCAACCTCATTCAGCTCAACTGGAGCATAACTGTGGCTTATGAAGCAATTGTATTGGCCCTGAGCCCATCAGAATTCTGAAGCTCTTTCTCAACAAGGAGACCAGTGGGAAAGAAGATAAATTTTATCTGATGCGGTCTATATTAGGGATCTGCATAGTCCAGGGAGTGACATGATGTGAGAATGCGACGAAGCACATCTGGAGCTCTGGGAAACTGATTTCACTGCAGCTGGTGATGTCACAAAAAGACACTGAGCAGAGAAGATCAGAAGCCTTGAGCTCCAGTGCTGGACAGGCATGTCACCTACGGACAAAGGCATTTAGCATCTTAGGACCTATTGTTTTTCTCTCTAAAACCACAGTTCTCAATGGATAATTTCTTTCTCTTACTTCTAAAAATATGGGATTCTGTGCAATATTAAGACTTTGTGAGACAGGTCATCCAGTTTCTTAGGGTTCAAACTACATCTCAGAGACAAATTGAGTGATTATATATATACATATATACACCACACCTTGATAGGGTTCCCAAGGGATTAGATTCTTACGGGCAGAACTTCTGAGTTTGGCTGCCACTTAAAGCTAAGCTTTTGGACTGTGTACTTGAGGATGACATGTTCAGAGAAAAATAAAATAGTCATCTGCACGTTTTGTAGTTTAATCCTTTACCCAGGATTTACACAAAGGAGCTTTGAGGTTTTAATTAATATTCAAAATTGACAAACTACAGCCAGATCCAAAGGCAGCCGAATACTTTTGGATTTTATAGGAAGTTAAATGAATCAATATGACTGTTTGGATCAGTTTGTACTACATGTGGAGGACCCAGTCTCCACTCCTAACTTGTATTTCTTTGATACTTGAGTTTTGTTAACATGTAGTCATCCCACTTTATTCACTGAGGTTCAAAATCAAGCAAGTTTCTGGCCTTTACATATTCAAATCATGCTAATATATTCTTTTCCTGAACATTTCCTGTTATGTAACCTTATATTTGTATCATATTTTATACAGTCTTCCCATCCTCTCTTTCATTGAACTATCACAGCAGACTTCTCTTGACAAGCTGGAGGCAAAATGATGCCTTCCTTTTAGGGAAGAAAAGCCAAGGTTCAGGTGGCAAGGACAAATATGTAGAAGTGACCACGCCTCTAATATTTTTTCACTTAATGGATGGGTTTATTTGTCCCAAGGGCATCTTGCTCAAGGCTGGTATACATTTGCAAGCTCCTCACTAATAGCTGAGTGTTGTCATATCACTGTGAATTACTCAGACAAGCACAACGTGAATGATTCATCTCTTTGCTACTGATGGAAACAATTGATTAAAGGATACTCTGAAGAAGAACATTTGATGTATTGTCATGAAATTTTACTAATGCGTGTGATAAAGGTAAAATATATGAAAAGTGCTTAGGTAGAGAAAATGAACTTGCAGAGTCCAAAGAACAATTTCTTAGAGAAAATCAGAAGGAGCTAGAGCAGGAATGACCAGAGAAATTTATCAACCAATCATATTACCCAGGAGCATAGTTCATTTTCTGAAAGTTTAATTTTCTCAACTTAGACATGATACACCCAATTCAATGCAGCCTTCTTCAAAGAAGTCATCTTGAGAGACTATCTACTGATTCCATGCATATTGCTTATTAATTGAATTATTTTTGGAACTTCTCTTTTATAATTGCCTTCTGAAATAGAGGCTTTCTTTTAAATTTCTTAATGGTGTTTTTTAGGTAAAGTTAGAATTATTCAGAACCATGTCTGGTAAAATGGTGCATGTGCAAGCCAGGTAATGTTTTCCCCTCCCTCTTTCCTTCTCTTCCCCTTTCCCTCTCTCTGTCTTTCCTCTCCATCTCTCTCTCTCTCCACCCCCTTTCTCTCTTTCTTGCTTGTTCTTTCATTTTTTTCCTTCCAAAAAAGAGATGAGATCAACTTATTTGTTGTGTATCACAACTTTGAAGACTCCAGAAATTATTCTAATAAATTATTGTAGTAAGAACGCATTTTCCAGATTGATTATGTTTATGTTTAAATCCCCTTTTGTTAGTTTAAAATATTCTGCCTTGTGGTTTTATAATTATATTCCCTGGGAGTTTCTATAGGGCTTTGGTTGGAGCGTTAGAGTTATTAGAGCAAACTATATAGACCTGAGTATTATCTTCACACCAGTGAAGGTGGTAGGTGTAGGTGAACAGCTGTGAGCTGAGAGGTGAGGAGCAGGAGAAGGAGCAGATGCTGTAGGGACCACTGAGTTGGGTTAGGAGTGTGACTGACTGCAGGTGTCCGGAAAGAAGTGATATGGCAGGCACTTGAAGCCATGGCACGTGGTGACTATGCAAAGGACCTGAGGTTGCTAAGCCTGATGTTGATATGAGAATCAGGGTGGTGTGCTGGAAAGGACACAACTGGAAATGTTGCTTAAAATGCTACTTCTGCTGCCAATTAGCTGTGTAACACTGGGCAAATTTAACCTCTCTGTGGTTGTTTCCTAATCCACTGGGTTTAATTATAGAACTGAATGAAATTAAGTCTTCTTTAAGATTACAATTGATTTTATAAGGGATCTATGATAAATGTCTTCAAATACTTGAAGAATTCTCATGTCAAAGTAGGATTAAACTGAGATTGATTGTAAAGTCTTGAAAGAGGAAACAGGGGTTGAAGGGTTACAGGGAAGCAGATTCAGCTTTAAGGAGGAAAGAACTGCCCAGGCAACACTGAGATGGCCACCTGGAGGGTGGAAGGTGCTGTGAGAAGTCCCCATCAGTGGAAGAACCAAGAAATGCTGAGAAGAACACTTCCAAGGTGTTGTAAAAGGGAGGCATAAAGTGCAGGAAGTGGGAGCTAGTTGATTAGAATCTTAGAACTGAAAGGGTAGTAATCTTAGAACTGAAAGAATGTCTACTCTTTTGAGGCCACCTATATTATTATTATTATTATTATTTTTTGTAGTTCTTAGCTGGGGCTGGGTTTGAACCCAGCACCTCCAGTATATGGGGCTGGCACCCTACTCCTTTAAGCCACAGGCACTGCCCACCACCCATATTCTTGATTGTATTTTTGAAGCTACTCAGGATGAGGGAATGACAGGCTTAAATATCCCAGACAGTTTTAGCAGTGAGAAGTTGATCCATGAGAATTTGGTTCACCCTGCCTAGGGGACTTCATCTTCTGGAACAGTCCACCTCCTGGCAACCTTATTTAACCTAATGCTATCTGAAAGAGTCAGAGAATGGTCTCCCAGTATCACTGAAGAAAGCAAGAGTGTCTAACCTTTCTTCTTTGCAGCACACCAGAAGAAGGGTTGTACTGGGCCACATATTAAGTACACAGGCACTAACAAAAGCTGATGGGCCAAAGGAAAAAAAAAAGGGTCTTTACATAATTTTTGTGATATTCAACACCACAGATAATTTAAAAAGTCCTCACATAATCTGTATGCAGCCTGCAGGCCGTAGATTGGACACCCCCAGAGGGATCTTCAACCTGCTTCCTGTAGCTCCTTCACTATAATTATAAGAGACACCTTTTGCTTCTTGGTAGGGACATGGCTCACAAGCAGAGGCCTGGGGCTCCAGAGTAGCATGTCATGTGAACACAGAGCTAATCATTATTGATTCTTTGGGTCATTAAGGTAAAGGGACATTAATTACCATCAGCACAGTTGTACTAATGCAGTTGTAACGAGCACACTTGTGGGAATTCCCAGTCAAGGCCGCCAGCACAGCAAAGGGATGGGCTGGGTGCAGGTCTCCAGGAGGAAGGTAGTTTCATTGGTTTGACTCTAGCTACCTCTGCTTATTTATGCACAGGTACCCAGAACACGCTGTGAAATGCCTCTCCCTCCTTTTCCTAGTCCATGGCATTTTGTCTTCCCTATACACCATGCAATAGCTCTGGTTCCCAGAGGCATCCTGTGTACCAGATTCCTACCTACTGGACTCATCCCACAGCTCTTAGACGTATGAGCTGGGTAAGACCTCAGCAAGAATAAAGCAGTATGTCATGTCTCTGAGATGGGGAGCTCCTACATACCACCATTCTTAGCAGAACATTGTCTCGGTATGCTCACGCTTTGTTTTCTTATCTCTACCTTTTAAACTACCTCTTTTTCTGAGTAACAATTGTTAGTACGTAATACTACATACCAGACCCCATGGTAAGTGCTTAACCTAAGTTATCTCATTTAAACTTAATGAGGTAGGTCTCTTTATTATTCCACTATTTGTAGATGGAGAAAGGTTCAGAGGCTAAGTAGTTTACTCAAAGTCATGGCTATAGACTTAACTTAGGCCAAGCACCCTTATTTGAAATTGTTATTTTTTATATGATTCTTACTATGTAAAAACTTGGATGATTCTACTGTATAATCAGATAGAAGTTCAAGGAGTACCAAGCTTGATAACGGTATCTGCATAACTCACGTGTCCTTCCATCTTTCTCTCTATCTGCCTAACTACCTTGTTCTTGGTACAACCTTCTTCATCCTTTTAATCCTTCTTTTATTTTATCTTTATAGGTATCTGATCAATGTCACTTTTGAGGGGAGAAATCTGTCCTTCAGTGAAGATGGCTACCAGATGCACCCAAAACTAGTGATAATCCTTCTGAATAAGGAGAGGAAATGGGAGAGGGTAAGATATGTCTTTGGCAATTTTTGAACAAAGTAGGAGGGTGTGGATGTAAAAGTTGCAACACATTAAAGGAAACAGTTCTTTGGTTTTTGTCCCTAGTTCTGTGGAGCATGAGATCAATATTTTGAGAACCCAAGAGAAGCCATTTCTCAAACTTGCATCTTCATTTCCTTGATTTGGTTAACCAAGAGGTTGTTATCTTTATGTATTGCCATTTATTACTTATTATTGGGTTTTACACTGATAATACAAAGAATTTCTATTATCGATAATTGCATTGCTATCTGAATTATGACTTAATTTTCATGGAAAAGTATATATGTACATTGTAACATAATTTGATGAAGAGACCAAATCAGTGGTACAATTCAGAAGTTATGTCTTACATGATGGGGAGCCTTATAAAGACTAATTTATGAGCAGACAGGTTTAGATTTCCTGTGACTGAAGGGTTGCCATGCAAGTCTTTGTTCAGAATCTCCCCACTGCCAGCTGATCACTGTGTTTAAAATTCTACCATTACAAATTAATTTCCATGGGTACCAGACTGTCTTGGTTAAATTCCCGGCTCAACCACTTACTAACTTAACTATTTAGGACCATGCATAAATTTCTTAACGTCTCCGTGCCTCAGTTTTCTCATCTGTGAAATAAGGATAATAATAATAATAGCACCCACATGTACAAGGATTGAATATATTAATATCTGTATTGAGAAGGGTATCTAACATGTAATGGGCACTTAGTAGTATTAGTTTTTTTTAGATTCTTAGTTAAAGGAAAATATTCCTGAGAGTAACATCATTACCCATTTTCTGCATGTTCTATGGGGCATTTGTCCCTTGAGACATTTTGCTAGAAAATGGTTCTGCAGATAAATAATGTTGGGAGATGCTTCATACCGTTTCTCACTCTAGAAGAGTCTCAGAACACATTAACATTCGAAAGTTCAGAGATGTCTTACAGCAAAGACTCATGTTTGACTTTACTTAATGTGGCATTTCCCCAAAACATTTTCTCCCAAGACCCCTTTGTTGATGATATTTCTGTTTTAAGAAAACATGTTGGGGAACTGATTGAAGACCATTTCTGCAGATTCCACAGGCCTACTGCCTGAGAACAGGCCTCACAATGTCAGCATGGTTCTGACTGGAATGGAAACCCAGCTGTCTGTTTCCACAGAGCATAGTCAAGAAAAGAGAACAGAGGCTGGACGTTTTCAGTCTTGTCACAGAGAGTCCTGGACAGCTAGTTATGGGGGTGCTCACTGGGGAAACTAGGCAGGCACAGCTCAGGCAGCACCACCCAGGGCCTAATTCTTCAAATTGAAAGGTCTCGGTCTAGCATGTGTTTCCTCTTGTCAGGGCACAGATATGAGGCTTAAATTCTGCCTGATGTTCTTGACTAAAGTTGCCCACCCTGTACTGAGTTATCCTTTACACAGACATGCTTGTTCCTTGGGCTTCTGTGCTCCACACTAATGAAGCTGCTCTCACTGCGGTATTGGAGACTTCATAATTTGAGATGTGTTCTGGGCCCCTCATTTATAACAGGTACTTCTTTCTCTCTCCAGAAGAGGAGTTATTAATAACTGAGGCTTCATAGGTAGCTTAGAAATACCCAGCTGGGGTAGCTTTTATATGGTAGACTCAATGATTACTGTCCCCAGCAAGGGGCATCTCCGAACCATCCATTCTTAAAGAGACACAGCTTACCATCATGCTGACTTCTCTCTCTTCCTCAGGCCAGAATCCAAGGTCTGTGACCCACCACCTCTTTCTGGAGTTAGACACTCCCTCCTGGAATTTAGATCTCTTCCCTCATCAGTTCTACTTTTATCCTAGCTCTTGAATTTATTCTTTACTTTGTATATGATTCAGGAACCATGTGGTCATTTTTAAATGGGCCTCCTCATCTCTGACGCTGGCCTTTATCCATTCAGATTAGTCCTACGTGAAGCTGTTAGAATGAGCTTCCTAATGTGGAATCGTAATTGTAACGTTCTTTCTCTGCCCAAAACCTGCTCAAGTCTTTTGTGGTTTATGGATTGGGTCTAGACGTTATTCATTCCTGCATTTAAGGCTCTCACCTACTGTCTAAGCTTGTCCTCTCTTCCTCATGTCTTCCCGTCTCATTCTCAAGCTGCAGTGGGAGCCTTTCTGTTCCAGGAATGCGTCTTTGTGCGCCCTGCCCCCCCATACAACATGACACGATGTTTCTTTTGCCTGGAATGAATTGCCCCATTGTACAAATCACAACAATCCTTTGGAACCCTATTAAAATGTTGCTGCCTCCTTCCTTGATCTTTGACTGAGCTATCATGCCTCACTCCCTCATTTCCTTTAACTTTTGTCCATATGTCTCTGGTAGCCCTCATCACATCTACCCTGTGTTTATGTGGGCATCTGTGTGCTTCCAAAGGGCAGAGGCTGTTTCTTTATCTCACTGTGTCCTCTCCTGACCTGGGAGAGTGTATTGCATAGAGCAGTTCAATAAATATTTGTGACATGAATAAGAACCATTACATAATGAAAGAGTCCAAAACCTATCATTAAGAGTCCAAGCTCATGTTATTGCTCTGATATAATAGCTGTTCTTGGGGGGAGGGGGAATAAAATCTTTATGTAGATTGAATTTCCATAGATTATACTTCAAATGTACTAAAGGAACTAGCTATTTAAAGGAATTCTGTGGTTAATCTTTTTGTAAAGCATTTTGGGAGGGATTGAGATCGTATTGTGGAATATTTTCATATTGACTTGCTTAAACCAGGGAATATTTGCAAGAGATCGATGTTTAACATTCACTGAGTTCTCAGGGCCATGCAAACTCCCTACCCCTAATTTGGAAGCCCTGGTTATGGCTTATCTGTGGGCAGAGAGGAGTGGCAGGAGGGAGGCCAGCTCTAGCACATGGCTAGAGTGTGGTGAGATTGGACTATGGAGAGGTAGACCTTCCCTTCCACTGTCACCTTGGTTCCTAGGATACATTTTCCAGATGACTAAAGCTGCTCCAGTAATTCCCTTGTGGTCCAGGGAGAATTTAGTGTCTGTGGACTTCAGGGAGGCTGGCACCTAGGTGAAGACTCAGCAGGGAAGAGTCAGACACTGGAAACATAACCAGGGAAGGAATCTGGATTTGTAGGAAAAATATTAGCTAAAGACAGGACCCTCAATTACTAGTTAGGCCACTGTCTAGCCGTGAATCTGGCATTTTAAACTTTTCTACATCTTTCTTTCCTCATTTCTAAAATGATGGCATGAAACTAAGACTTTTAGGGTCCTTGCTAGCTCTAACATCTGGGATTACAAATTCACGTTATAAATAAATAGAAACTTGAGATGGAAATTGGGGTAGGAGCTGAAGCATATAAAGGAAGCTTCATTTGTTTTGAAGGGCAGTAGCTTCCAGGGCATGTTTGTCATTCTTGTCATTTAGGTATATATCATCTCCCCGGAAAGACCCTCCCTGATGGCCCATGCTGAGGGAGGCACCCAGTCACTCTAGCTAACAGTTTATTTTAATCTTCTTCAATATACATATTATCTGGTGTCTGTCTTATTTGCTTGCTTGTTCACTCATTGCCTGTCTCTTCACCATAGATTCTTCCTGGGACCAAGGACCTTGTTCACCTCTGTCATCCTAACCCTTCAGGGAGTGCCTGGCTCAACGGGATTGCTCTGAGATAATTGATAAAGAAATAAAGAACCCCATGTGCTTAGAAGAGTCAGGATTTTGACTCTAACTCTCCTGAGCTATTTCACTTCTACCTCAAAAATCCTCCAGATAGAGAGGTTTCTTGGAGAGAGTGGGACAACTGGAACCTTTATTCTGTAGTTTCCTTTCTTAAGGTTTCATAATTCTCTTTGAAAAGATCTTTCACCTCTTTTGTTAGGTATATTCCTAATTATTTCATTTTCTTTGAAGCTACTATGAAGAGAATTGTGTCCTTGATTTGCTTCTCAACTTGGCTGTTTGGGGTGTATATAGAGGCTACTGATTTGTAGACTCTGATTTTATACCCTGAGACATTACTGTTTTTTCCTGATGACTTTCAGTTTTGTGGTTGAGCCTCTGGGGTTTTCTAAGTATAAGATCATATCATCAGCAAAGAGGGAGAGTTTGGCCTCCTCTACCTCCAGTTGGATGTCCTTCATAGCCTTCTCTTGCCAGATTGCATTGGCTAGAACTTCCAGAACTATGTTGGATAATAGTGGCAATAGTGGACATCTTTGTCTGATTCCAGTTCTAAGTAGAAAAGCTTTCAGTTCTGCACTATACAGTATGATGTAAGCTGTGGGTTTGTCATTTGATGGCTTCAGTCAACTTAGGAAATGTGCCTCCTATGCTTATTTTCTTAATTATCCTTGTTAGAAAAGGATGCTGAATTTTGTCAAATGCTTTTTCTGCATCTATTGAAAGAATCATATGGTCTTTGCTTTTGCTTCTTTTGATATGGTGTATTACATTTATGGATTTGCACATGTTAAACCAACCTTGCATCTCTTGGATGAAGCCAGTTGACCAGAAGAACATACCATGCTCTTGGCTGGGAAGAATCAACATTGTTAAAACGTCTATTCTAACACAAAGCAACCTACAGATTCAATGCAATCTCCATTAAAACACCAACATAATATTTTGAAGAACTGGAAAAATAGTACTTTGTTTCATATGGAACCAGAAAAAAACCCATATAGCTAAGGGTATTCTTGGTAATAAAAACAAAGTCAGAGGCATCACCCTACCAGACTTCAGGCTATCTTACAAGTCCATAGAAACCAAAAAAGCATGATATTGGCACAAAATAGAGACATAGACATATGGAAAAGAATAGAAAACCAAGAGATGAAACCAGTCTCTACTTGATATCTGATCTTTGATAAACCAAACAAAAGCATTCAGTGGAGGAAAGAATCCCTATTCAACAAATGGTGCTGGGAGAACTGGATAACCACATGTAAAAGAGTGAAACTCAACCCACATATTTCACCCCTTAC